CCAATGCAACAGTTATGTCCTGTATTACCGCCATATTTTTTACTTATGTGGCCTTTTAACATTTTGTATAAGTAAAGCATGGTTTATTAAGTTTTCATCTTTTTAGGAAGTTATTGGTTTTGTCTGTGCCTTTAAAATCCCACAAAAAGAGGGTTTTTCCATATATAATTATACTTACCTAGGTTTACGCAGCATCGCTCCACCGCCGGCTCTAAATTATTATTTTTATTATTATTATACAGGATTTATATAGCGCCAACAGTTTGCGCAGCGCTTTACAAAATGAAGGTAGACGTTACAGTTACAATACAATTTGGCACAAGAGGAAACAGAGGGCCCTGCTCGTTAGAGCTTACAATCTAGAAGGAAGGGTTGAGTGATACAAAAGGTAATAGCTGTGCGTTGATGAGCTGATGGAGGAAATAAATGGCAGTTTACTAATTAGAAGCAGCATAGACTTCTTTAAAGAGAGAGGTTTTCAGCGATCGTCTAAAGGTGGATAGTTTAGGAGACAGCCGGACAGATTGGGGTAGGGAGTTCCTTAGGATGGGAGAATCTCGTGAGAAGTCCTGGAGGCGAGCATGGGAGGAGGTGACATGGGAACTAGAGAGCAGAAGGTCTTGCGAGGATCGAAGAGAGCGATTTGGTTGATATTTTGAGACCAGGTTGGTGATGTGGCTGGGGACAGAGTTGTGGATGGCTTTGTAAGTTGTTGTTAGCGTTTTTAATTTTATTCGTTGGGCGAGTGGAAGCCAGTGGAGGGATTGGCAGAGAGGAGTAGCAAGCACTGAACGGTTGGTAAGGTGGATGAGCCTGGCAGCAGCATTCGTGATGGACTGGAGGGGGGGGAATAGCCTATGTAAAGGTAAGGGTAAGCCAATGAGGAGGGAGTTGCAGTAGTCGAAGCGAGAGATAACCAGGGAGTGAATAAGAAGCTTTGTGGTACCTTTGGTTAAAAAGGGGCGTATTCTGGAGATGTTGAGGAGGTTGAGGCGGCATGATTTGGACAGCGATTGGATGTGGGCCTGAAAGGATAGTTCAGGATCCAAGGTTACCCCTAGCACCCTGGCATGCAGGGATGGGTTGATAGTGGTGCTTTTGATCCTGACCGAGAAATCGGGGGAAGAGGCATGTGGGGGAGGAAATATTATGAGCACAGTTTTGGATATATTGAGTTTTAGGAAGTGCTGTGATATCCAGTCTGATATGTCTGTTAGTAAATTGGTGATACGTGAGGAAACTGATGGGGTGAGCTGAGGAGTAGATAGATAGATTTGTGTGTCATCAGCATAGAAACGGTATTGGAAACTATGGGAGGCTATCACCTGTCCCAAGGAAGCAGTGTAGATCGAGAATAGGAGAGGTCCAAGGACAGAACCTTGGGGACCCTGAGAGTAAGAGGAGTAGGAGAGGAGGAAGTAGAATTGTAAGTGACACTGAAGATGCGGTGAGAAGGTAAGATTCAAACCAATGGAGAGTACAGTTACGAAGATCAAGTAAATAGAGTTTTTGAGGAGGAGGTGGTGGTCAACTGTGTCAAAGGCAGCAGAGAGGTCTAAGAGTAAGAGTATGGAATAGTGGCCATTGGTTTTAGCAATTAGTAAGTAGTTTGTGAGTTTTAGGAGAGAGATTTCTGTGGAGTGTTGTGGGTGAAATCCAGACTGAAGGGGATCGAGAAGGTTATTCTCACTAAGGTGGCAGCTTAGCCGGTTGTAGACTAGATGTTCAAGGAGTTTGGAGGCAAAAGGGAGTAAGGAGATGGGTCTGAGGTTGCTGAGATTGGTGGGACCAGTGAGGCCTTTTTAAGTATGGGGGTGACGCATGTTTTAGAGAGTTGGGGAAGATGCCAGTAGAAAGGGAGAGATTGAAGATATGAGTTAAAGAACGAAGGATAGAGCCAGAGGGTGACCGTAGTATTGGCAAGGGAACAGGGGACAGGTGGTTAGGTGGGCTTTAGAAAAAAGTTTACCAACCTCCTCTATAGTAGCTGGGTTAAACAAAGGAAGTATAGATTGTGCAGGTGGACAAGGAGTGTAGGGTGAAGGAGATATCTGTACAGTGGAGATCTCGTCAGGAATTGTGAGTGAGTTAGTGGGTGGAGGTAAAGAAGGATGAAGTAGAGAGTTAAAGGTAGAAAAGAGATGACGGGGATTGTGTGAGAGGGTGCTAATGAGAGTGATAAAATAGGTCTGTTTGGCAGTGTGCAGACAAGAATTGTATTTTTGAAGGGCAGATTTATATTGGTCGAAGTCTGGCTGTATCTTAGTCTTACGCCATAAACGCTCAAGAGCACAGCTACGTTTTTTGTGGCATCTGGTATTGTCTGTTTGCCAGGGCTGTAGCAGTCGGGGCCTAATTCTGTGTGTAGCGAGTGGGGCCAATGTGTGTGATGACAGTGAACTGTTGTATACTTAAGTGGCCAGGTTAGGGCAGGTTAGGGCTGAGATTTCGTCATAGAGACAATCTGTTGCCGAAAAAAGAAGAGAAGGGATAAGATAGCGAAGGTTTCTACAGGTAACTGTTCGGTAGATGGAAGATAAGGAAGAGGAAGCCAAGGAGAAAATGAAGCTAATAAGGGAGTGATCAGAGAGCGGAAAAGGAGAGTTGGTGAGATTGCAAGGAGTGCATAGGTAGGAGAAAAATGGTCGAGGCAGTTACCATTATAGTGAGTAGAAGTATGTGTCCATTGTTTTAGGTCAAAAGAAGTGGTTAGGCTCAGAAGTTTAGAGGGTAGCGGGAGTGTTGAGATTAACAGGGATGTTGAAGTCACCAAGAATGATTGTGGGAATTTCAGAAGAGAGAAAGTAAGGCAGCCAGGCAGAGAAGTCATCAAGGAAGCTTGATACTGGTCCAAGAGGCCAATAGATAACAGCAATTCTTAAAGAAACTGGAGACAATAGATGAATAGAGTGATCTTCAAATGAGGAGAGGGACAGAGAGGGAGGTGAATGAAGCACCTGAAAAGTGTTTTGAGGATTCCAACTCCACCTCCTTTCCATCCACTAGGCCTGGGAGAGTGAGTCCCGAGGAGACCACCTTGGGAGAGGGCGGCAGGAGAGGGAAAGTCAGATTCATGAAGCCAGGTTTCCGTAATTGCAAGCAAGTTAAAGGAAATTTGTGATAAAGAGGTCATGGATAGAGGTGAGTTTGTTACAGACAGAGCGGGCATTCCAGAGGGAACAGGAAAAGGGGAGGCTGGTTCTAGAAAGTAGAGGAATACAAACTAAATTGTGTGGATTGTGGCTGCTGTTAGAGGATAGGGGGTGATGGGTGTGTTATTCAAAGGAAAAAAGATGGCGGCCCAGGATTTGGAGAAATGTCTCCAGATGATAGGAGAAGCAGAAGGGTGAGTGAGGTAATATGGGAGTATGACATAGTGTATGTGGAGGGACAGGTTCCAGTGTCCTGGAGGTTTTATTAGTATGTGGATTCAGAATTAGCAGGAGTTGATGAGTACAGTAGTAAGGTGAAGACAGGAGTGAGGGCGATATATATAATCTGTGAGGTGGAGAAGGGGGTGAAGGAGATAGAGTTTGAACAGAGAGGATACAACTATGAGAAGGAAGAGTAGGGAGTGCATGTTAGAGTGGTGAGATGAAGAGGCAGACTGGATTAGAGCTAAAAGTTCTGGATGGGGAAACAGGTCACCTGTAGTCTGTTTAGTATTCGGATTCTTGCTTTGTGCATTTTCCGGATTGCAGAGCCGAAGTGCAATGCTTAATACTTAATCCAAGATGAATACTTTAGCCAAGATGATAGTTGCCAATGCTGCCCCTGGCTATGCTGCCCCTGGCTGTGTGAGAGCTCAGCGATCACATGACCGCTTTGAGCAGACTGTCAGTCACCACTATCTACTCTAAAACCAACTCTCAACCCCCTTCTGCTCACTGGAGCACTGGGCTGTGGAGGGGGAGCGAGCGGCTGGTTCAGGTTCTCAGCAGCTCACTGAGAGGCTGAGCCAGGTGCCGCTCCAGATTCTGGGGTGGATCCCAAATTTAAAGACAGGATATTTCCCCAGCCTGGACCGGCTGAGTGACGTCAGCCGACAGCAGGCTCCAGCCAGCTGTTGGCTGAAAACGGGTTACAGGAGTGCAGAATGATCTGTGATCCATGTGAGACGTACTGCCAAAGGAGCTTTTTAAATTGCCTTCTAATAGCTTCAGTAAGAAGATTCAGTGTTATGAATTTCCTCTACTGATCTCTTCCCCTGCCAATATATGCAGATGTCCACCCTGTTCACTCTAATAGACAATCATCCACCACTGAGACAAATGGGTAGGAGAGGGAAGCAGATCACCAGAGGAAATCCTCTCCTATCGTCTCCTGACCATTCATCTTCAACTTATCACACAAGGATGAAAAAATATATATTTCTTTTTCTAAGGACCGGAAGCTAGTTTAAAAGAGGCCTGCATCTATAATGAACTGTATTGGGTGAATACCCACAGGTTAAAACAACAGCCATCACCCTATGTAGCTCAGAGAGTTCAGTCACCATGATAAGTAGTTGTGGGTTTAACTCATGGTTTTAGTGCTAAGCCCTTTTTTTCACAATTGCAGCCTTACCCTCTCTCATCACAGTTTCAAACCTTGTGATCAGCATCCAAAAAAAACATCATTATGTTTCCTACTTTCTCATATCCATGTGTCTGGAAAAGGGAAATGATGCATCTGAGACCGAGTCCTTGGACAACCATCATCATGAAAAATTTTGAAACAAGTTTTAAAATTGATAACCTTTCATTTTGTGCAGGTTACAGGTGGCTAGTGGGCAGGGCAGAGAGAACGATCTTGTCCCATGTACTGCCGGCATACTGACTTTCATAGTAGGAACAGTCCCTCCGATGCAGAATGATTTCTTTTGGGTGGATTAACCCGTATAACATCCCTGTCCTCCATCACTTACATCCATTTTCCTTGAGTCTCTGTTGTTCCTCCATTCATTATCAAGCCTTTATTTTGAGAGAAAATAAAGGAGTTCCCTATCTGTATCTTCACAGGACTATTCTAAAGAATAATGACTTAAGATCAAGACAGGAGCTTACCACACACCTCACCAACCAGTGGCCTTCCCCAGGAGCTCCGGATGTTAAAGCTGTGGCCCTGGATACACTGCTCTACCAAAAGCACAATGAACATTGGCATGAGTAAGTTTAATATGTCATTATTGTCAGACCAACTGCTACAGAGATCCCAGTGTAGACCTACCACCATGGATCATGGCTGATGATTAATGGCGGCTTCCTTAGGCATTTCTACCCATGAATCTGTACACTAATGAAATATATAAAATGCCAGACTATCTTTTGTGTTAGAATAGTTCAGTGCTAATAAACCCTTAGATAAGCACACTGAAGTGGCTAGCCTCAGATGATACACAGTGATGAATTAAGTCCTCCAACACAAGTTATACCTCTTCATCTGCAACATCCTCTCCTCCACAGCCTTCCAAAGTACACAGTTTAGATAGGTTTTTAAAGCTTCCAGGAGACAAGGGACAGAGATCTGATGTCACACACTGCAGAGCACCCAGCATAGTGTAATTTGAAACCTGAGTGGAGGGAATGGACACACTTCCTCTACATAGCCTCATAGGGAAACTTGCACATCTTAGACCACCTTTTTTCAACCAGGGTGCAATGGCACCCTGGGTTGTCTTCTGGGTCCTTCAGGGGTGCCTTGGCAAAGTGTCTAAAAATTGCCCCAAATTGCTTACAATTTGTCAAGCTGAGAGGTGGATTACGTCTGACATTTTGTTGCACAAAGCCCCAGGCTTTTTTTGTTCAACATTACAAAATTGGGCACCTTGCAGGCAAGCCGCCAGCATCCTAACAACTGATGATGCCATCGGTTGATAAGGAGAACATTGGGCATCTACACAGCACCCTTGTTTGCCCTTTCCCTTCCCTTTCTCTTAGCACAGGGGTCATATTAGCTGAATGAGGGAGAGAAACTGAGGGCGAGGAGAAACAATGGTATACTAATCGATACTGGCGTGCATTGTAAAAATGTATGTGGGTGCTGCCATATGTAGTATTATTTAGTTTATTAGCTTTTCAAACGGCGTGCCTCAAGATGTGTCTGGAGAAGGGTGAGGGTAGGTTATCTCCATTTATTGCCTGGTGTCTGGGGAAAACTGTCAGAAACGTCTCCTGCAGATAGAAGAAGGACAGACCATGCAGGATCTACACGAAGTGCTATGGACTGAGGGAAGAACACACTATATAAGGATATGATTTGTTCAATTTTTCATTCCAGTGGTTTACAACCACTTTAAAATAAATCTTCTCATTTAGTGTGTGCAGGGAAATGCAGTAGGTTTGCAAATATAACGGTTTCCCCTTATTTTCCTCTTCTTTATGAGATGCCATTGAGATCCAGGCTGTTTAAAACCTTTCAGGCCACCTTTGAATCACAAGCACCATCTAGACACATCACCATGCCTAATTACCTATAATTCTAAAAGCTGTCACGTTGGCTCTCCTAAGGAAAGGTGGAGAAACCGGCTTATGGAGTTTTTCTCTATATTTTTGCTTGTTATTTACAGAGATTGAAGGCATGTGCCTTATAGAAATGATCAACTGTGTATGAAGGCATCTTAACATTTGCTATAATGGTTTTAGGTCAGTTTTATTTTAATAGTTTTCTTTTTTAAGTTTATAAGTTTTAATTCTTTTATACCTGTTTTGGTAGACGGATCTTTAGCTTGTATTGTGAATGCAGCTGATCCTACCCCCTGGTGTACAGAATGGCAACACTCGTCCCCAGTGTGCACTTGCTGCCAGAGACAAGTGTTGTCAATCATCCCTCAGTAGCTATTTGTCTCCTTGCTAGCAGCGTGGTCGGACAGTGGGGTGAAGGCAAGCTGTGCAACCATGGGGCAGATTGGATCGGGACCAACTGCTATATGTACTTGGTCCCCTGGGGGGCTTAATAAACATGCTAAAAAGCAAGGGATACTTCTTTAACTCAACATTTGTGTAAGATCTACACTGGCTATTATCCAGCAATCACAACATAGCAGAGTTGTGAACTCTGTCTTTAGATTTCTTAGGGCAGGAGCACATGCAAGATTTTTATCAACAGTCCTATTGCTAGAATTACTAAGTTTTAATTGCCAAGACTAGTTGCTACATGTTTAGAACAAGTTTATGTCTATGGTGTAAGCTACCTAATAGCACGTAGTAGTGGGTTAAAGTGTGCCTAGACCCAGAAACAAAAGTTACATGTCCAGCAGTTTATCAATCCTTAGATGTAGTTGCTGAATTCTGTTTCTTTTTTTTTTAGGCTTTTTTCCCCCTTTTTTCCACCTAGTAATCCTGCCAGTAAATCATTTTTTTTTCAACTTCCTTTAACTGAGAAAGCTGTCCAGCAAAAGTATCAGTTAGGGATTGCGACCAACCATTTAACATTGACAGGTGTGCTTACAATGGTCCGTTTTCATTTTTAGTTAAAACTACTCCAAAAGGAAAGAAAACTGTAAATCCGCTGTCTCCAAACTGTGGCCCCGGGGCTGGATGCAGCCTTTTGCTTGCCTTTATCTGGCCCTTGGGGCACTATTCCTCTGACTGGAACCAACAATCGGGCATTATTCTTCCCACTGACACGAGTGATGGGGCACTATTCCTCCCATTAATTCCAAAGGGGAGGCATTATTTGCTCCCCCTTCTACCAGGATATTCCATTGGCCTCACTCTACTCCCCCCCTCCCCCCCCCCTAAAATCTGAAGGACAGGAAATTCCCTTCTTTGTTTAAAAAGTTTAGAGACCTCTGGTCTAAGCCAATCATTCCCTGGAATATTACCAAGCCCCAGCCTTTTGCTTGCCTTTATCTTGCTTTTGGGGTACTATGCCTCCCACGGACACCAATGATGGAGCACTATTTCTCCCACTAATACCAACAATAGGGCATAACTCCTGCCACTGACACCAACAGTGGGGCACTATTGCTTCCACTGACACCAATAATAGGGCACCATTCCTCCCCCTTTATAATAAAGATGGAGCATTATTCACTCCCACTTATGCCAGGACCAGGGGTGGACTGACCATTCGAGCACTCGGGCACTGCCCGAGGGCCCGGGGTCAGTAGGGGGCCCTATGAGAGGCCCCTGGTACCTTTCATTGTTTTTTTCATAGGCTTTTTTGGGTATGGGCAAGGACACAGGGGCCCCATGATCCCCTATTGCCGGGGGCCCCATGAGTTGTCAGTCCGCCCCTGGCCAGGACATTTTCCTTTCCCACTGGCCATTCTCCAGCCTTTCTAAAGTCTGAAGGACAGTAAACTGGACATTTGTTTAGAGAGTTTGGAGACCCCTGTTGTAAATGTAAAAGTATTAGGAGGAGTCCGGTTTTAAATGTTTAGTTCAGCTCTTCCGATCTCTGCTGCCATTAGCTCCTTTAATGACTCTCTTCCACTACCCATATTAGCTGATATTACAGTCCAGGCATTTGAAAACTGCACTCTTCTGTGCCCTTCTTTCTTCCACGATTCTGTTCCAGAAAAAAGTGGGCTCAGATAAATCATTGGTCAGTGAGGTCACTTGCCAGCGCTGGGCAATGAGCACTCACTATTGCAAGCATTAATAATGCCCTGACTGCTACACTGGCTGGCGAGGCAGCAGAAGATAATCATCAAGTTCAGCAGGAACCACAGGATTGGGGAGGATGTTGTGAGTCAGTTAATTTTTTTGTTAAAAGATGAGTCAGTGATTAATGTAATGTTCATCTATATCTTCTACAGTCCCTCTAATACTACCCCCTACACAGGTTGACAATGCTGCTGTCCAAGGGTGGCTACATTGCTCCTCCATAGATAAAGTGGAGGACTGGGTGTAGCCACCCAGTGACAGAAAGTGTGTTACTGTCTGGATCACCAGTCGAAAATAAAGGAAACCGAAGCCTAAAAAAAAAAAAAAAAGAAAACTAATGCAGCCATCACATATAAGGCATGGTAAGCTGCAATATAATACATCTTTGTTTTTTGGTCAGATACAATTTAATCATACTTGGTGACAAAATGCTTTAAATGTGCGCAATTAATCTCTATTAACTCGCTACTACAGGCTATGTGTGTAGCTTACACCATTAAGAGCCATTTGTCTGATCTGTGTCGTGACTGATTGCTGTTCCTAGGAAGTTTAGTAGCATGATTTAGCTACTGAGAACTGCCCAAGTTCTAGTTATCCCTCTAGATGGCCAACTCCCACCCAGAGTTTCATGGCAGTTTCTTGGCAGCCAATTGCTGGAGAGTTATTGACAGCCAATTGCTGCTTCTTTGCTGTCATTCTACATTTCTGAATCCCAAAATAAACTCTAAGCATCACTCCTACAACTAAGAGGTTTGTGATGATAAGAAGGAAATATGTAATTTTCCCAAACATCCTAATGGCTAAAATGACATGCTTTTTACTGAGGAGATCGGCAGAAATGCTGAAATTAGAGCTTTCTAACCACGTCCAGTGCCCACACACTGACAGCTTGTGTTCCATTTGTCAGTGGGATTACTCAGCCTACAGTACTGACAACCGCGGATTTCACGACTAATGTCATAAATCTATGGAATTAAAAATAAATCCTTATTAACGGACCGCTTCAGACAAACCGCTAAATGCACAGTTAAAACACATAGGGGAACTGTAAAGCATGGAAAAGGTTTGTAAATTAACTCTTCTATAGCTGGCATTGTTGATGTGCAGGGTGACCTGACCTTTATTGACTGCAGTTAATCAACACCACTTGGTCACCTTCCTTCCCTCAGGCTGCACTGCTATTGGACAGTGGAGGAGCAGCAACAAGCTAATGAGGGTCTCTGCTCTCTTCTACTGTCAGCGTGTTTCTTTGTCAGCACGTGTGCATGCAGGTCACCTGATCTGCCATAGATGTTGCCCCTCTCTCTGCCAGTTCTGCTCTACAGAGTATAGTCTGAAATCAAGTCAGATTCAGGTGTATGCACTAGTAATTTTACATAGTTAGTCTGGCTGAAAAAAGACAAAAGTCCATCCAGTTCAACCATAGAAAAAAAAAAAATTATAATCCTACACCCACAGTTGATCCAGAGGAAGGCAAAAAAACCTAGCAAAGCATGATCCAATTTGCTCCTGCTGGGAAAAAAATTCCTTCCTGATCCCCCGAGAGGCAATCGGATATTCCCTGGATCAACTTTACCTATAAATGTTATATCCAGTTATATTCTGTGTATCTAGGAAAGAATCCAGGACTTTTTTGAAGCAATCCACTGAGCTGGCCAGAACCAACTCTTGAGGGAGTCTATTCCACATTTTCACAGCTTTCACTGTGAAGAAACCTTTCCGTGTTTGGAGATTACATTTCTTTTCCTCCAGATGTAGAGCACCCCCTTGTCCTCTGTGATGACCTCAGGGTGAATAGCTCTACACCGAGTTCACTATATGAACCACTTATGTACTTATACATGGAGATCATATCCCCCCTTATGTATTATACATGGAGATCATATCCCCCCTTATGTATTATACATGGAGATCATATCCCCCTTACGTATTATACATGGAGATCATATCCCCCCTTATGTATTATACATGGAGATCATATCCCCCCTTATGTATTATACATGGAGATCATATCCCCCTTACGTATTATACATGGAGATCATATCCCCCCTTATGTATTATACATGGAGATCATATCCCCCCTTACGTATTATACATGGAGATCATATCCCCCCTTATGTATTATACATGGTGATCATATCCCCCCTTATGTATTATACATGTTGATCATATCCCCCCTTATGTATTATACATGGAGATCATATCCCCCCTTATGTATTATACATGGAGATCATATCCCCCCTTATGTATTAATGTATTAGACATGGAGATCATATCCCCCCTTATGTATTATACATGTTGATCATATCCCCCCTTATGTATTATACATGGTTGATCATATCCCCCCTTATGTATTATACATGGTGATCATATCCCCCCTTATGTATTATACATGGTGATCATATCCCCCCTTATGTATTATACATGGTGATCATATCCCCCCTTATGTAATTATACATGGGTGATCATATCCCCCCCTTATGTATTATACATGGTGATCATATCCCCCCTTATGTATTATACATGGAGATCATATCCCCCTTATGTATTATACATGGAGATCATATCCCCCCCTTATGTATTATACATGGAGATCATATCCCCCTTATGTATTATACATGGAGATCATATCCCCCCTTATGTATTATACATGGAGATCATATCCCCCTTATGTATTATACATGGAGATCATATCCCCCCTTATGTATTATACATGGAGATCATATCCCTCCTTATGTATTATACATGGAGATCATATCCCCCCTTATGTATTATACATGGAGATCATATTCCCCCTTATGTATTATACATGGAGATCATATCCCCCTTACGTATTATACATGGTGATCATATCCCCCCCTTACGTATTATACATGGAGATCATATCCCCCTTTACGTATTATACATGGAGATCATGTCCCCCCTTACGTATTATACATGGTGATCATATCCCCCCTTACGTATTATACATGGAGATCATATCCCCCCTTACGTATTATACATGGAGATCATATCCCCCCTTACGTATTATACATGGAGATCATATCCCCCCTTACGTATTATACATGGAGATCATATCCCCCCTTATGTATTATACACGGTGATCATATCCCCCCCTTATGTATTATACACGGAGAACATATCCCCCCTTATGTATTATACACGGAGATCATATCCCCCCCTTATGTATTATACACACGGAGAACATATCCCCCCTTATGTATTATACACGGAGATCATATCCCCCCTTATGTATTATACATGGAGATCATATCCCCCTTATGTATTATACATGGAGATCATATCCCCCCTTATGTATTATACATGTGATCATATCCCCCTTATGTATTATACATGGTGATCATATCCCCCCTTATGTATTATACATGGTGATCATATCCCCCCTTATGTATTATACATATCCCCCTTATGATTTATATCATATCCCCCCTTATGTATTATACATGGTGATCATATCCCCCCTTATGTATTATAAATGGTGACCATATCCCCCCTTAATCTCCTCTTCTCAGTAGAGAATAAATTCAGTTCCTCTAATCTTTCCTCATAGCTGAGCTCCTCCATGCCTGGTATCAGTTTGGTTGTCCTTCTCTGTACTTTCTCCAGTTCCCCAATGTTTTTTGTGAATTGGTGCCCAAAACCGAACTGAATTTTAAAGTGTATCTAAAGTCAAGTTTAGGGCACATGTTTACATGCTCGAAAAAATTAACAAAATGTGGGAGATTTACTAAAGCTGGTGCACTCAGAATCTGGTGCCGTTGTGTATGGTAGCCAAACTTCAGCTTGTTCTATTAAGCTTTGGTAATAAAACCTGGAAGCTGATTGGTTTCTGTGCAGTTGCACCAGTTTTTTCACTCCAGTTTTACGAGGGGCTTTGAAGTCAAATCAGGACTTTTAATTTTACAGATATAAAAAGGGATGCTAGCTTGGCAATACAAGAAACACAAACCACTGAGAAGAGAGGAGAATCAGCACAAAAGAGGATCCCCAACTCCTATAGACAAGGGGCACAAAAAGAATGCATAAAGTCCAATGTCATTAAACAGTCCGTATAGCACTAGGGCTAGCTTCTTATAGCTGTAGCAGACTCTGTGTAAAGTAAAAAGGAGAGAAGGGCCTCTAAGTTCAGCATTAACAATATTTATTAGCAAACACTGTAAAAGCCACTCACATTGTGTCAAATAAAGGAAGGCTCAAATGGGTAAAAGTGTGTAGCCGTGTCCTTGTTGTAATGGCCGCGTCCGCACTGTGGAGACTAGATGTAACAGAATGGCCGGCTGGCAGGTGAAGTCTCTAAAGATGGCATCTGGAACGCACCTTAGAGTGCAGCGACAGTGTGATGATAGATGGGGCACCAGCATGCAAAGCGGCTCGTTTCGAAGCATGCGCTGAACCACTAAGGGCGGAAGTGCGCTCCCTTATCCCAT